GACAGTAGTTGCAAGCAATAGTGGAGCAGGAAGATCTGAAAGCCTCCTTTGGCATTGTTGTCAGCTGATGGGTGGCACTTGTGCAGTTGGAAGACACATCAACTGTTGTAGCATAGGGGAGGTGGGACCCTTAGCAAGCTGCTCCCCAAAGCGCCTGGCCAGAGCCCTGGCACTGAAGCAGTTAATTAATTGAGAGAGCGACAATGTTAGGACTGCAAACACAATTACTTCATGTCACTGTGACACGAAAAAAGTGAATATAAAGTCTGCTCAACCACTAATAGCTATAGTTTGTATCCTTCTCTCTCTCTCTCTCTCTCTCTCTCTCTCTTCATTAAGGGAAGGACCCTGGTTATTTTTAAATCGTTGATCCACACACAAAGCCAAATAGTATATTTTTCTGTGCAAAAGAGAAAAGGAAAAACTGTAAAATTCTCTAAAAATTGCCCAGGCCTGTTTATCTCCGCTAGCGCTCCCCTACAAGGCTCAACCTTCCCTCTAGTAATTTAGCTATGAACTTAGGTGGCCTATGTGTGCCAGCAAATTTTCTCTATCCCTCTGGCATGTCTAGTTAATATGTGGTATGCTATCTAATTACAGTTAGCTGTAGTTGTACTTTTCATATGCACTTTCATGGACTTTGTCTGGCATACTGAATAGTTACATCAGTATCTGGAACTGCAGAACCCTCCCCCCATAGTTCATTTAGTGATAAAGGCATGTCATACTGCATGGTCATATGGGGCACAGTTAAGGGTGTATGGAATGCCTTAAATTTTGGCTTTTGCAAGATGTTTGAGCATGCTACTTGGACACCACTGCTTATGATATAATAAAGCTCTTGTATCTGCCAAAATTTTACATGCTGGGTGTCTGCTCAGGGGAATTGCTCTGTACAATTTCAGCCAAAACAGTTCAGCCATCTTGAAGACTAAGACTAAGGAAAAATACATTATTTTACCTATGTTAAAAAATTCTAGTTAGCTTTTCTTTGAACAGCTTGAGTGTCCCTATAGTTTGAAGCAAGAGCTTGAAATTTGGCGGGGGAAGGGTGGGAGGGCGGCATTTGTCTCAGGGCTGTGCCTTTTGCTATCGCCCCCAAAATCTTCCCAAATCTGACCAAGTTAACAAAAATTGCAGTTCACCCGTGATCAGTACAGCCTTCTTCAATTTTAGCATTTAAAACCTCCAAAGAGCCCATTTTCCACTGAGCATGCTCAAGACTCTCACAGCTCCTAGTGCTGACCAGACTGCATGTGCCATCCCCCACCGAGCAATTGAGGGTGTGCCAGTCCCTCCTAGCTCTTATGTTTAACCAGACTGCACATGTGCCATCCCCATAGAGTGACTGGCTGGACAAGGATACTGGAACTAGGAACCAGTGTGGGAAGAGCAGCGGTGTTGGGGAAGGGAGGCAGATCTGACAAGGAACTGTGGTGCAGGGGAAGACTAGCTGTGTAAAGAAACTGGGACACAGAGCCATGGAGAAGGGAGGCTTGGGCAAGGGAGACTAAGATTTGCTGAAAATCCTGATAGGACTCAGGGTCACTGGTTGGGAGGATAGAGACAGATTGGAAAAGGACCTGGGAGAGGGCATTGGAACTGGCAGGGCAAGGAGACTGGGACTGGGTGTGGAGCGAGGAAGAGACTAGGAGCATTTGTGTGTGTGGGGGGGGAAGGGTAGACATTACATCTCCCTTGGACAATGAGCTTGTAAAGAGAAACTAGGACTGGCTGGGCAACGAAACTGGGAGTGCGATCAGAAGCCTGAGGAATGGAGACTGGAACTAGGTAGACAAAGAGAATTGGTCTGGGACAAGGAACAGTGGGGAGGGGAAGAGGCAGGACTGGAACAAGGGTAAGGGGTCAAGCTTGGCGTGAACAGGCAGAAGAGTCTGTAGAGCACACGTCTCTCCAGAGCCTGGAATGGAACCCAAGATTCCAGTGTCTCACCATTCCTCTGCTGTCAGCAAATAGCTGCAAAACCCAAACTGTTCCACTCCCTCTACCACTGGCAGCCATGGAAGATGACAACCTCCTATTGCTATCAGTTACTTGATTAGCTCAAGGGACAGAGCTCTGTGCAGTAAATCTAAGGATGATCTGGATGAGAAGCTGGATATGAGTCGACAGTGTTGCTGCCAAGAAGGCTAATGGCATTTTGGGCTGTATAAGTAGGGGCATTGCCAGCAGATCGAGCGACGTGATCATTTCCCTCTATTCGACATTGGTGAGGCCTCATCTGGAGTACTGTGTCCAGTTTTGGGCCCCACACTACAAGAAGGATGTGGAAAAATGGAAAAGAGTCCAGTGGAGGGCAACAAAAATGATTAGGGGGCTGGAGCACATGACTTATGAGGAGAGGCTGAGGGAACTGGGATTGTTTAGTCTGCAGAAGAGAAGAACAGGGGGGATTTGCTAGCTGCTTTTAACTACCTGAAAGAGGGTTCCAAAGATGATAGATCTAGACTGTTCTCAGTGGTACCAGATGACAGAACACGGAGTAATGGTCTCAAGTTGCAGTGCGGGAGGTTTAGGTTGGATATTAGGAAACACTTTTTCACTAGGAGGGTGGTGAAGCACTGGAATGGGTTACCTAGGGAGGTGGTGGAATCTCCTTCCTTAGAGGTTTTTAAGGTCAGGCTTGACAAAGCCCTGGCTGGGATGATTTAGTTGGGAATTGGTTCTGCTTTGAGCAGGGGATTGGACTAGATGACCTCCTGAGGTCCCTTCCAACCCTGATATTCTATGATTCTATGATCTGATGAACCACGTGGGTGCCAACATGATAGAATCACTGTTTTTTTCAGATTGCTTTTTAAAAGCATAGGAAATTTAACAACACCCAAAACTATATTTAAAGAACGTTATTGAGCTACAGTTTTTAATTACATGATCACATACTGTTTCCCCCCCCTCCCGCCCAGGACCCTTGCCTCATTCAGGGCAAAGGATTGTTCTGCACGGGGTAAATCAAGTTGTGTCTATTGGATCCTTATCTCATTTTATTACAGAAGGTGAAAGGCGGGCAGTAGTGAAGGAGGCAGGGGATTGCCTCATGGTGAAGGCAAGTGACTGCTGCCCTGGAAAATTGAGTTTCTATCCCTCTGCTGCCTCTCCCACCTCCCCCAATTCTGACATTTCCTAAAGTAATACAATTATTTTAAGAGAGGGAGAGTGTCAAATATATATAGCGAGAGAGAACAAGAGAACCTTTTATTGGTGTGGGACTGTTCCAAACCCCATTGAAGTCACTAGGCGTCTGTCCATGAACATGCCACTTGTGATAGTGCTAGTGACTTTCTAGTTATTTTCGTGTACACTTGAGTTCCAGTGGAAACAGTTCGTGAGCAAAGAGTCGGAGGTTATGGTTTTGGCCGAACTAACCCCATTCTCTGGGAGCAGCAACTGGGCCAGATACTTATCCCTTTAATTAGTGAACCAGGTCAACTGGTATTTAAGAGATTGCGCCTGTTCTCAATGAACGTTCTCTCACAGTACTGTAGTTGTATAACCCTTGGGATTAACATGTCCAGGGAAGGGAAGAGAGAGTAGTTAAGACTGTGCTTAACTATCCTGATTACTTATGTACCCTAGGGAGACTACAGATATTTGCTGATTTTTGTCTTAATAAATAGTCCCCATCTCTCTGGCTCACCGTTTTAATCATATAAACAGTTCGATTATTTGGATTGAAAAGGTGAGGCTCTTTCTCTGGTTTATGTATCTATCCCCATCTCTCCAATGAAAACAAACATAAACTTGATAGACTATACTTCTGTCAAGTTACCTTAAAACGGAGTGGGGCTCTTTTACATTTATTTGTGCTTTAAAAAAAACCCCCAAAACACTGTGTACAAAGGGCTTGGATCCTGAACTCATTAGACAAACAAAACTCCCGTCGGTTTTTTTGCCTGTAATAAGTGTGAGCTAAACTTCAGCTTTTGGCGTTTACCTTCTGTATCTACAATATTATAGGAGCGATATGGACATTTCGTCAATCTGAGTATTTTAAGAAAATATTCCTTCCCGTGGGACTTCGGCTTGACCAGAGAATACACAGCTTTGAATTTTGCATGCAACGGCAGACGTTCCCCTTCTGAAATGGTGTTTTAAAAGGGAACGCTTGATCGCTAGGTTTATTAGCATTTAGTTTCATTATAATCTGGAGACGTTGGACTCTTTCTCTTTCTACTTTCCCGTGCAGCACAGAATAACTGTAGACGCAAACATCTGCCTCTGAAAGCTACCTCACTAGTCAGAGACACACACCCCCCTGGCTGTGAAAAGACAAGGAGGTATCACGGCTCTTGCAGGGATAAAACCTTTCATTGATAAAGATCTACTAGTGTTGATATTGGATCGTGATTCACATGCTTTAACCCCCACCCCCCAAATTATTACCCAAGCTACATAACTCCGGGCATATTTGCTAAGGACAAACCTCAGAAATGTCATGTTATTGCAATGCTGAGACCCAGAAATCTTGCTGGATCTATCCCCTCCTAACTAGACCAGATTAGAAACTAACAGCAAATGTTCTAGCTGATAGACACCCCCCCTAACTCTATCTGCTTTGTGTTAATGGAGAAGAGATCGTGTGTGCAAACCGCTTTCCATGCAGTTACTGGCCCAATACACTATGAACGGAAGGGGGGATTTAATATTTAACTCTTCTTAAATATCGGACTTTAATGGGGGTGGAAAATCTGATTTTCTGTGCATTCCAAGAACAATTCCTTGGGGGTGACCTTTAGCACCGAGTCTGTTGAAAGAGGAAAGTAGCCGAGTGTTTATCTGGAGATGACTGAAAGCTTTCCCTGGTGGAAGTTTATGGAAGCGTTAAAGGGGGCGGATAACACGATCTTTGGAGGCGCTTGGCCAATGATCTGGAGGGGCTTGGAGAGCAGATCTCAGCTGGCAGACATTTAAATGGGAGACAGCTCGGCGCTGCTGCAATTTGTAATCAAGATCCGCGACTCCCTCTATATGGACTCACTGGCAGCTCCCTCCAGGCTCCTACCCCACTGCAGCCTCTAGCCGGCCAGCAAAGTAACCCACCGCAGGTAAGAGACCTGTGTAGAGCAAGAGACCTCACCGCTCCCGCTGACCACAGACCGCACAGGAGGGGGAGCAGCAGGCAGAGCAGGTGAGTGGGGCGATTATTTCTTACCGATCTCTCTTTATACGGGCTCCTCCGGGGACATGAAAACGGTCAGGCTCTTTAAGAGACAAGAAGGTGATAACTTCGGTGCTAGCCCATCCCCGGTGTAACAGCACTGACCTCAGGGGAGTTACGCCAGGGATACATTTGGCCCAGGTGCTCTATTTAGCCACTTCTCTGATTTTTGGTTTGATTGAGTCTCTTTCTCCCTTTCGCCCCGTCCCCCCAATCGCTCTCCCTCTCTTTAAAAGAAATAGTCCTTAATTAATTGCTGTCTTGCAAAACTCTTGAGCCCTTTGATTTTGCAAAGAGCCCCTCCGAGGAATGACACAGCCTCCCGCCCCCTCCCCCCCAGCTCAGATGCAGTGGAGCAGACAGAAAGGTATTTCCACTCTCAATACTTGAGATTAGGGCGCTATTATATTTATCTCCCTAGACAAACATAAGGATTGCAAAAGCCCAATTAGCTCTGCCTGTCATCTCCGCCTACAGCATCATTCCCAGCAAATTGGATTCGGCGCCCACCAGACATGCAGCAAAATCCCAGTTCGGCATCTGCGAGGACTGACTGAAAACGAGGGAGGGAGGTTGGGGGGAAATCACTGATCCTGGCTGGAGGCTCCCAGGTACCAGGGCTCCCACCCCCCTGTGCCGCAGCCCCAGCCGCGATCCCAGGCGAGCCGGGCTCGGGGTGGGACAGTTTCCAGGGATCTGGAAGGATGGTCTCCATTGAACACTCCTGGATAAAAGATAAGTGTCAATTTCAAGGCTGGCCTGCCCTTCTCAGCCGGACTGGAAGAGATCCCAGGAGAGCTCGGCGGGGCAGATGCAGCCCGCAGAGGGAGTGTTTGCATTAGCCCGTCTAGTGCAGCAGGAAGCTCCGGGGGCTGTAGGATTGAATACCTCGCGCCCAGAAGCCCTCCCGTAGCCCCCAAAGGTGCCGTAAGACGCCTGCGGTTTCGGTGGTGCGACCCTTCTAGCTAGCGCGGAGCTGGAGAGCAGCGGGCCGGGGAAGACACGCGGAATCCCTGTCCCTGTTCATTGCGTCTCCTCCCCCGACAGCGGCTCTTGCCTGGGGCGGGCTCGGGGAGGGCGTTCGCCGCTCGGAAGCACGGCACGGCCCAAAGCTCCCTAGCCCAAGCTGGGATGCTGGGACCTGGGCATTTTGTTGTTGTTGCCCTGGCGACTTTCCTGCCTCTTTCGGGGAATGTGCCAGCCCGGGCACTTTAACACACAAGCACCAATACAGTCCCACGCGGAAGCTCCCAGATCTGCCAGTTCTCTGCGCGCTGGCTCTAGCCCAGCGGCCTCTGTTATCACCCCTCTGCGGACCGCCGCGCTGATCCAAACCGAGCCCCGCTGAGGTTCCCGCGTGCAGAAAAGCCGGCGACCGCTTGGGCCCTGGTGCTGCACGCCCGGCCCACCCGGATCTGCTAGGGAAGCGCTGGCTGCGCCCGGAGCGCAGGATCGGGCCGGTCTGCTATCCCCGGCTTACGGCTGCCCAGGACGCGCACTGGTCACAGCTGAGCGCTCTTCTCCCTTCCGCTGCTGGCTTGGTGAGCCCACTGCTGCCCCTGCGCCTTTCCCGGGCCCTGCGCCTCCTGCCAGACTCCAGCCGGGCTGATTTCACACCCGGCTCTGCAGCCCCACTAACAGCGAGTCTCCTTGCGAGTAACCCCCCCGCGCGGAACCCAGTCACCTGCCCTGCGTAGGCCCCAGGGTACCAGGTCTGAGGCGCTTTCAAAGCCTCTCCTGGGAAGTGCTGCGAAAGAGCGGCTAGTGCAAACCTGGACCTTTCCGGGACAGGCTGAGCTCGACGGCTCCAGCCTTCGCTCTTCTGCACCGCTAGGGAAGGGAACAGGTTTGAAGGGGAAACCCCGCGTTCTTCTAGCGCTGGTCCCCACACATCTCCGCTAAGCATAGCTCAGGGATGCGGCCCCTGTATGCTGGTCACCCCGGGAGCTCTGCTTTGCGCACAAGGGCTGCCCCTGCTAGTATTTCTGCGGGAAGGGGCTGGCTTCACCATTTCCCTGGCGCGATTTGTTTCATTGGAGAGGTTTGTTCCTCCATCGCCATGTTTCTAATGGTTTATCCCGTCAGCAACTATATGTATAGACTCGACGGACCCAGCATAGTTCATAAGTATCAGGCCTGTTTTTAAAAAGATTACAAAGTAGAGGAGCAAAGCTCCCTTCGAAACAACACGGGGAAGTTTTGTCCGAGTCTGCTGCTTAGCCACTGGGCGTGATGTTAAAGTGGATCATTTAATTTGCAACAAGCTGAGAACATGGCGAAAACGGATACCTTCAGTGCCGGGTGTATCACAAACATTTCTCCCACAACCCCCGCCCCCCAATGATGTTGTGAGGAGGGAAGCTGACTGCGAGCGGGGTTTTAGTTAGTTGCATCAAGGCTCGGCTAGGACTCTAGGTACTATGGTGGTGGGGTCTTACACGTGTGGAAGGTAGATTGATAGGACAGTGCGGCAGCAGACCATTTCCCTGCTCGGGAAGCCGGCAAGCAAAGGGTGCCCTGCTGAAGGAAGCCTATAGCATCACTTCGTGTTTTGCATCCGAAAACTGTTCTCTTTACCATAAGACCCAGGTCCGGGTATGTAACTAACACAGAGAGCCTCTTCCTGATAAACTCCCCCCGCATCCAGCTACCATTGTGCACAGCGAGTCTTATTTTGTTAATCAACAATGTTCTCAATATGGATAAAATGCAGATATATTGTTCTTAGATTTCCACTCCAATGGCATGGAGATTTATAAAATGAACGGGGAGCTCAACAATGTATGTGGCCATGCGGCCTGTTAAAATTTTTTGGGTTTAGTTTATTATTTTATACACACACACACACACACACACACACACACACACACACACACACACACACACACACACACTTAGCCCCAGCTTCCTTTGGATTTTACATACTGATATTGGTAACTAGAAGATCAATCTCTGGCATTCCCTTCCCTCTCGACTGTAGGCTACTGAGAAGTATCCAAAACACACACAGCTGATGCTGTGTATAAATAAGAAGTAGCACTCATGCTCAAATGTTTCTAGTTCTTCCTAGAGCTCAGACACTAGCTGTGCTAGGATATTTGTTTTTGTCTTTGCTATGCAAGCCAGAATTGTGCAAGGCTTTCCCTAGCACCAGCCTTTGAATATGTATTACTGTCTACTACCGCAAAACCACATCAGCACTTTCGATGGATGTGGAGCAAAATCCCACTAGCCTCACTGACAGGCATAGTCTTATTGAAAACAATGGGACTACTCCCATGGGGAAGGCAAGTCTGGATCTGGCCCATGCGCATACTAATGATACACCATGGAGTTTTAGTCCTGATTTCCTACGGGACTGTAGTTTAATAGATCAAGGGTGGGATTTTCAAAGACACTCAGTTTTATCATTAATTTCTGTATTATTCTCCATTTCCATTACAATAATTGACAGAAAAATAGATTGGCATTCTGTAGAGTGGTTTCCCTACCACCTTACTCACCAAGAGTTACTTGCCATTTTAATGCATCTGAAATCCCATCAAACAGAAGTTGGTTTTGTTAGTCTAACCTTGGTAAATATTCTCTCTCTTTGTGGATTGTCCCTTCCACTGCTTTTCCTGTACTTCAAACAGGTGCATTAGGACATTACTATACTTCATATAATAAACCGTGAATAAAAAATATTTTGCTCCTTGGAGACGCAGGTGGTGGTACAAACCTCCTTAATTTGCATAATAGCCAAGAAATTGGGATCTGATTGTTTCCTTGGATACTCTATGAGGATCAGTCAGTAAATATATGTAATCACATTTTATCATAGGTGCTGGCAATAGGGGTGCAGGGGGTGCTGCCACACCCCCTGGCTTGAAGTGGTTTCCATTCTATACAGGGTTTGCAGTTTGGTTCAATAGCTCTCAGTACCCCTACTATACAAATTGTTCCAGCACCCCTGCATCTTATGGAAATACATTTTGGGAATTTCCCACCATATTCTCCCATTAGATTCAGTTAATGAAAGTTTGGCATTGACTTCATTAGAGCCAGGATTTTACCCAACATTTTTAAGCAAGCTGCATTGTAGTAATACTTCAGTACTATTATAGTGTAGGAGTTCACAATGGAATTAAAATGCCTTTAAATTTGACTGTTTGAGATCCTTAATCAATAGCAGAAAGCATCCATAAACTAAAAACTCACAGATATTTTTTAATAATGAAACGGAAGGGCTTTTATGTTTCTTCTAACTGATGCCATTGCTAATTCATTAAACTCCTTGATCTTCTTGGGTGATTAGAGCCTAGCCTCTAGAAAATCTAAAGCACCATATAAGTGTAAAATATTATTACTATTGGACCGCAGTGCTGCTCCCATTGAAGACAATACAAAGCCTCTGCTGGCTTTAGGATTGGACCTGAACAGATGAAAAGCAGAACTCTAAACTTGAATCTTGGCAGTTAAGTAAAGGAGGAATTGATTTTCAGGAATTTTGTTAGTCATTTTAATGCTATTGGATCTTAGGGGTGAGCCAGCTCCCATGGAAGTCAATGAGAGTTGGATTGGGCCTTCATATTTGTAGTTTGTATTTACTGAATTGTTAAGGAGATTTTTCAGTTCACGTTTCTGATTCTGCCAGTGTTTCTGTAATACCCAGAATGTCACATAACTTGCTCTTGAACATTTTGCAGAAACTTGGCATTCAAGATGTATGGGCCTGATCCCATGTGCACATAAGCCCCATTGTAGACAAGAAGGTAAAGTTATGGTATGCCAGGAAGCAGGATCTTTATTTAATAAGAGATTTTGTCTGCTTGATCACATTTCAATTATGAAACAATCTGGCTACCTCATTGCACAATGTCACTTGTAATTTTTTGCAGTATAGAATTTTAAAGTTCTACAAAATTTAAGATTGATAAGGCTCTGGTTCATAAAGGACTACATTGTTCCTATATCATGGGGCCATGCAGATGAATAATCCCCTGCATGTGGGCATTATCTTGGGTCCAGGTCTCGTGTAGAATGTAGGAGCTGCACTTTAGATGTAACCCTGGTGGAGGAAGTGGACAGGGCAAAGAGTGGGTGGAGTCATAGATCCACACACCCCAAGCAGAGATGGGTGGGTGCCTAGAGGGAAATAAATTGCACCCTTTCAAGGGCTGTAAGTGAAGTCCTTACTAAATAAGCAAGGTCACAATCTCCCCCCACACCCAGGCTACTCCTCTGATGGTGCAGTTTAAGGCACAATCTAGCCCCGAATGATCACATTCATTTTTATTATTCTGAGTTGTTTTTTGAAGTGGCCAATACATTGAATTTTGAAAAATGTTTTCTCTGTGTCAATAATTTTCATGATGACCCAATCTACCTTTTAAATATGTACAAAGTGTTTTCCATCCTTTGAGGGTGGAGGGGCACAATCCTGCAAACAATTACTACCTTACATTTCCTTAAGTACAGCCTTAATGCTTTCTGAATAAGGATGCTTTCTTGAACCTGGGCTGTAGTGCTTACCACTGATGGAAACAACTACACTTGGTAGTAATTGTTTGCAGGACTGGGCCCTATATGACAGACTGGAATAGCCATTCACAGGTTGCCATTCAAAGGGCCTTTTAGAAAGGGAGGAGGAAGGGGAGTGACACACAGATGACAAGTTTAAAAAACAAAAACAATGCTTCAGCTTTTTAGGAAATGCACATTGGCAATAACCAATTGAACAATGGAACACTAAATGAATACCTGAAGTTCCTTGTGCTGCCTAGAAACTAGCATGTGATTTTTCTGTTTTATGCAATGATGGCTATTATTTTTTTAAGGTTCTAGCACCATACTGAGTAAATAACAAACACTTTAAAAATACTGTCTAATTATAGTGTGGACACAGTCATCCAACAGATGGGAACAGCCCTGGATGGAGTCATTCTGGTCTCCTGAGAAAACAGAGTGTTTTATAACCAGTCTTCTTTTAAATTAGTTTAAAGACCAAACATGGAAACTAAATTCAAAAAGAAACCCGTTTGAATAACATTTTGGTTGTAATACAAACTGAAAAAAGGCAGGACATGTTCAGTCCAAGTTGACACTTGAAATTATGTAGTGTTACCTTCAATTAGAATTTCCCAGGTTTTTTTGTCAGTGTTGTTGGTTTGTGTCAGACCCTTAAGGTTATTAAAACTGCATGTCTTGTTCAGTATTTCATTTAGATATTAAAAGCAACCCTTCTACATTCTCCGTAGGATCAATCAAGAATGCTAAGCTTGGTGTTATATTTGTTGTATTTCAATCTATTTATGTACGAAGTTCCTTTCAAACACAAGCACACACTGATACATTAATCTAAATGAATAAAGTGAATGCACTTAGGCAAAATAGCTATCTCAATCTCTGGGCACATTAACAATTTATTAAAAAACACTTAAAATAATATCTTAGAACCATAAGCAAGTCTATATGTCATAACATCTTCCCAAACCCAGCGACTCCTAACTCTACCTCTTTCATTTTTTCAATCAGGGACATCTGTGATCATCATAATGTAAATGTTTTGTGCAATTTTGGAAAGTGCCAGGGACTAAGAAATTAACATGCATGTTTTATGGCTGTGATTCTCAGTCTGTAGCTAGCTCTCATAATGTCTGACTGGTTCGCTATCTGATCTGTCTTGGTCTCAGGCAGAACATGTGAAACAATCATCACAGGAGTGCTCCTACCACTCCCTGATACAATATGGGGAGTGCTGAGCTCATGGATTGGAGGAAGGGAGGTATGGCAGTTGCTTCACCTGGGACATGTGGCAAAAAGGCTCTGGGGCAAGTAAGGGAGTTATCCACACCTGATCCAGCCACTAGGAGAGGTTAGATAGAAAGGAGACCTTCAGAAGCTGGTAGAAGGGAGGGAAGATACCTGTGCCATCAGACACAGGGAGGGGAGATAAGGCGTGATACATCATGACACTGAGTCACATCAGTGCAACGTCCAGAGCTTAAAGAGGTCTGAAAAAAGTGTGTGGGGCAGATCTTATCACCCCTACATCTTCCCATTCCCCATCCAACAATTAATTCTACCCTCAGCCCCCAAATCAGCTTCTACCAATTTTGCACATTCCAGCCTCACATCAGTTCTGTTCCCTTGCCCTCCATTAATTCTGCCCCCACATTTGTTTTGCTCCCCCCCCCCCATCAGGTATGCCACCCCAATCTCACATCTATTCCTCCTGCAACTCCAGAGGTTTAACCCCTCTTCCCATTCCCAACTCAAGTATTGCAGGGAGGGCTAGGGGAGGTGGAGGAGGAGGAGGAGCAGAGAGGAGATATCCTGTTTCTTCCAAGAGGCGGGGGAAGAAGGGAACAGAGCTGCCGGGCTCTTTCTGCTCACCCCTTATCAATCCCCTCCTGTAAGAGCAGCTTTGGCTCCTGGTGGAAGAGCTTGGCCTGCTTCCTGCAGCAGCCCTGATTGGCTGCTCTTCCTCAGGAGGTGGGCAAGTGGGGAAAGCACCCAATCAGAGGGGGTTTACCCCCAGCAGAAATGAAATATGCACCCCTTGAGCGACCTGGCTTGAGTTTTAGAAATTTTATTTCCCACGCCTGCGACCTGGTGCAACCGGTGCACTTCCTCAAGTGTTGCAAACTGGCCCAAATTCTCTGGTATGAAGCCTCTCATACCATTGTGCAAAGGAGTCTGTTTGTTTGTGCAACGTGCCAAAGAGCCAGAAGAACCTTAGTTGCTTTTCACGTTACACTGGTCTCTCTTCTGAGTTACACCAACCTAGACGCCATTACACTCTCACTCAGTGGGCCAAAGTTCGAGGCTTGTGTAAGGGGTAGATTTATACTCTGCTAAGAAAAGCGAGTTTAAACAAGTGTAGCATTTCTGAGCCGGATTCTCCTCTCCTACACCAGCGTAAATCAAAGTAAATGGAGTTACACTGGAGTGAAAATGGTGTGAGGAGAGAGGAGAATCAAGCCACTTAAACTGGTGTAATGTACTTGGGGAGAGGAAGTGAACGATATACGCTACACACAATTGTCAACTCCAGCTACGGTTTTCACATAGCTGGAGTTGCGTAACTTAGGTCGACTTAGCCCCGTAGTGTAGACCTGCCCTTAGACTCTCTCCAGACTGACCTAGAGACTTTTGAAATGGGATCACTATTTTGTAGCTCTCTGCAACTCCATTTAATGCTAAAGTGTCTCTCCAGCTATTAAAGGCTGGGTACCTCTCCTCTCTAATACACTTTTCTCTTAGACCAGAGGAGATATTGTACACTTGCCTTTTGCAGATTTCATATGAAATCCACAATTGTGTTTTGTTTCCTCACTGTCCCCTACCTAGGATGATCCGCACAGTGTATGCTGTTGGTGGTCTGCTTCTTCTAGCTGGACTCCTGTTACCCACAGCAGAGGGGAGAAAGAAGAACCGTGGGTCTCAGGGAGCCATCCCTCCTCCCGACAAAGATCAGCCCAATGATTCAGAGCAGACACAGACAAAGCAGCAGCCAGGTTCAAGGCACAGAGACCGGGGAACTGGCACACCAATGCCCGCCGAAGAGGTGCTGGAGTCTAGCCAGGAAGCATTACACGTCACTGAACGCAAGTATCTTAAGCGGGATTGGTGTAAAACTCAGCCCCTCAAACAAACCATCCACGAAGAAGGCTGCAATAGTCATACTATTATCAACAGATTCTGCTATGGCCAGTGCAATTCTTTCTACATCCCAAGGCACGTCCGCAAAGAGGAAGGCTCCTTTCAGTCCTGTTCCTTCTGCAAACCTAAGAAGTTCACCACTATGACAGTTACACTCAATTGCCCTGAACTTCAGCCCCCTAGAAAGAAGAAGAGGATCACGCGAGTCAAGGAATGTCGGTGTATATCCATAGATTTGGACTAGACTCTGCAGAATATTATTACACCAATGCTCCAGGCATAGGCAATCATCATTGCCAGGTTAAATAAGAGTGAGTGACATAACTATCATACCTGCGTGGCTGGACACAACTGACAGGAACCAGAGTGAATCACCCAAAACATGGTGTGTGTGTGTGTGTGTGTGTGTGTGTGTGTGTGTGTGTGAGTGTGTGTGTTTGAGTGTGAGAGAGACTGACTGCGTATCTATACAGAAGTATATGAATGTTCACTATAGAGTAAAAACATTTAAATTCGTGTGAAATATCACTGAAGGCCTGTAAACACAAGGTTCAATATCACATCTATGAATTAGGACCCTTAGCAGACACTCACATTCTCCCTGCTTGCTGAGTTCAGTGCAGCTGTGACTTTTGCTAATGCTTCACTGGAGACCATACTATTCACCTTCACAATATGAAAAGAAATATTAAATCGGAGGCATTCAGGAGCTTCCAAGCATGAATTTGATCTTAAATTTGAAATAACCAACGTTAAGAGGTGCAGCCATAGGTGAAACCTCACTAAAAGCCACACTTCCACCAATGATTTCTATTATGCCTTTCTTTTTTTTTCAAAAATCAGCGTTGCTGGGAGGACGGGGGTGGGGGGAAGATAAGAACCACCAGGACACAGACAGAGAGAAAACATAACCCAAGGGAGCTAGAAGGAAAAAGAAGGCCAAGAGTTAGCAGGAAGGAGAGGAAAAGGATAGGAGGGAGTAGGAGAAGGAAGGAGAGAAAAGATGAGACACAAAGGAATAAGGAGACATTTTCTTCTGCTACTTTTTTGCTTTAATTTATAGACCAATCCATTTGTTATATAAAATTAAAAGAAATTACAAACAAGGAATTCATTCCTGAATTCTAATAACAGTCTAAATCAATTAAGATCCATTCTTATGTCACTAGATCCTCTTGATTTATTTATGGTCTTGTAATTCAGATATCAGCTGCTTTATATATTTATGTATGTGTCTGTACTGTACATGTAATATGTATATATACAGTCTCTATCTACATATGTGAGTATATATGTGCACCCAATGAGGTTATGTATTTTGTGTATCTGTACACTCTCTCTCTCTCTCTCACACACACACACAATGTACCAATCACAAAAAAATCTCAGTACACAACATCAAGCACAAAATGGCAGTAATTTAGCATATAAAGAGCAAAGCAAAAATTACAAGCATCATGTGACTGCAAATGCAATAACCACACAAGAGACAAAAGACATGGCATGCATGACTAGTAAACATTGCATTGTTATTGTTATTTTAGCTCTGCCACAGGCATGCAGTTCATTGAAAAGAAGAGATGCAGAGCCTTGCCAGCAATAATCTGCTTTTTATATCCTTTGCCACAGTCTTGCATTTAAACAGGATTTGGACTAAGTAAAGAGAATTTCCTGAAAATTAAGGGCTAAATGCTCCCCTTCTGGAGAAAAAGCCATGGGTGGGGAATAGTAACTCCTACAACTCCATGGGCTTCACCTCTGGGGTTATCCTGGCATTCTCCCCTTAGGGAGTGCAGAAAGTCTTGCAGGAGACTCTAGAGATTCCAGTACAGCTGTACAGAAGGTGAGCCACTCCCCACTTCACCCTAATCTTCACTTCCTCACTCACTCAGCAGCTTTCGCCCTCCCCAGCCCTATCTCACAGAGTGCTTCCACAAGCAGTAATTTCACAGTGTTTACCAGCCAGGTGAAGGAGGAAACAAGCCACGTAGAATGGCTGCTTCTGAGCGCATCCCCAGCAATAAGTTTCAATCTGATCTCACATCAGTAAAAAGGCCTATTTCTGCCACTATTGATGTCACTGGGATCAGGATTGGGCCATACATCAGGAGTAACCCCAGTGAAGGTAGAAATTCCATTCTAAAGTTACCCTCATATAAAATCAGTGAGAGAGAGAGAGAATTAGGCCCACTGGGTTTGTGTGGAGAGGCTTCTAGTCTGAGACACAGCCTGCCATTGAGGTGCCTTTTCTCTTCTTCTGTATGCACAGGCCACAACTGGCAATATTTGGACAACTGTGCTTCCTCATATTCTCTGTTTCACAACAGAGGAGAGGATAGGGCCTTAATTTCGGAGCAATCCACAAAGTATTTTTATACATCTGGACTCTGAGAAAGACAATTATTCTATTATTATGCCAAAAGGGAAAATACAGCATTAGCATATCACAAATACAGGATCTGTGCAATCATTTATTTAAAAGCCACAGCTATTACACAAGGTATCACACAGTTATTGGTCAAATCCTACATTTCTGAATTTAATATATTTTTACTGTAAGATCCACAACAGCGCCATCTGTAACACTAAGATTGCAAATCAGTGATTCATATTATTAAACTGTACACATTGGATCTGGCGTCTTCTGACTTTGCGGTTCTGCGTGGATTTTAAAAACTAAAATCTGGAGTTACAGGAGGTAAATTTCCACTGTGTGGAATGTGAATAGTTAGAAAAATATGGATATTTAATGTTATTAATACAAAGCTTTTTTCATTGATATGATAGGGGGCTTGTTTTCCTTTAAATGACTTCTTCCGAGTTGGTGAAAACAAAAAGTCATTCTGAAACCTGGCTGAAAGCTTTAAACTAGTTATTGTTTCTGTTCAGTGAACAGAGACATAGCTAGGGGTGAAATCCTGCCCCCTCCCCATTGAAGTCAATGGCAAAACTCCTATTGACTTTAATAGGGCCATGATTTCACCCTAGGTTGCTAAGGACCATATCCTCAAAGATTAACTCCTCATCAGAAGTTAGGCACCTAACTACCTTTGAGGATCTGGGCCTAAGTCCCTACACTCCATAGCCAGCAGACAAAGCCTTAGATGTTTCTGGCTCCTTTATTTAACATTCCTTAGAGGTTAACACTTTTTGAAGCAAAATTTGTGAAGCTTTTAATAGGTACATAAAGGAACAGTCAGTTATCTATGCAAAGAGCACAAAGGACCCCCCCCTCTTTAGGCAAAATCAAATGTAAATTTTATACAACAGACTTTTGTGAATTGCTAGTTACTGCTTGGGACTAAAAAGTTCTGCTGACTTACAATTATACAAGATATGTAATATCTACCACAATATGTATTTAAATGTCTGCTTTAGTCTAACCTTCCCTCCCCCAACTGACTATATAACCTAAGGCTGCAGTTTTTATTCTCAGTCTCATGAAACAAAATTTCGTTTTAAAATGAAATTCTAATAATTTTGCAACTGAATAGAATTGGACTCTCTCTCCCCCCACACCCAGCATTTTATATGTCAATTTAACTACTATTAAATAAATAAAACAGCTTCTTCAGTCCATTTCTTTTGGTTTCCTTTTTTCCACTTCCCTAAGTTTCCAGCTCGCTCTGGGTCTGTTGTACTGATCTCTGACTTCTGTGGTTTCTTCTAATTAAAAAAGGTCTTAAATTCTGACAGTGAGACAAGCAATGGCACCATCATTCACCACGGCTACTTCAATAAGGTCTTTAAATGAGATCTGTCACTTCCCCACGCCCCTCAACAATTTATAGAAGGAAAATCTCAATCCTTATTCACACTTTTTCCCTTGTAAACTCTACAACGACAGCTCAAAACTGTAAATCAAACTTGAAATGCTGAGGCTTTAGAGATAGACATGGGCCAGCCTCAGCACAACATTACTCCACTCTCAGGCTGGTGCTAACGCCATTGATTTCACCCCATATCTTTTACAAAGTATATGCAGTACTGGCAACGTACCTACTTGCCAACACTTTAAGAACTGTAAATAGGGACATATAAGCTGAACCCTAAGGACAGGCCTGGAAAACTTTAAAAGGAAATTTTGCTCTAGGGAAAGGTACCAGACTTACAGCCATGGAGGCTGGACTCCTTTATGTTCCCTTTGGAGTGGGTAGAACATGACCAGTAGCAATGTAAGCTTTACCTGTCAATCTGTTTCACGCTTGCCCACAGTGAAGTGTGGGGGAGTAGGTCAATCCCAATGCCTGTGCAATCCTACTGGATTCAGGGATGGTGAGTATCTTTTAACATGGATCACAGAACAGTTGGTGGTGATAATAAGTTTCAGTCATGTAGCTTGTGGCTCAATCGAATTACATTGGTATGTTCAAAAATACACCATTATGACCGAGATGTAGACTGGGGCTTTAGAGGGCACCAGCACACAGGGAAAAGTGTTGTCTCATGATTAGAACAGAAGATGGAGCTGGGTATGAGATGCTCTGGATTCCAATTCCAAAAGTGGAAGAACCTGGTCATCAGTGGAGAGTTGATGGAGCCCCATGTGTGCATCCGCACATTAGACTGTGTGATGATGGTTGTTTTGTATAAACTTTGAATTCTCCTGTGTGCTGTAGTTCTCCCATAGTTCTTTTGTGCTTTTAAAGTTTGTAAACAGGATAATAAATTTTTTTGTTTAAAATTCAATGTGACTCTTTTGGGGTCTGGGTCAGGGTGCAGCTGGATAGCAATAGAGCTACAGGAATAGATTTGCAGAGCTGAATTATTTTTTAGAAAAGGATGCAAAATGGAGAGGAAACCTTTTCCATTCATTCTGATTTTAGCCAATGGATGTCTAAGGTACGATGGTGCATTATTTATGTTGCAATAAACATTACATTTAATAATACACTTTGCACTAACATGGGACCTTTCAAGTATAGTTCATACAGTGCTTAGCAGTGGCGAGCATTGTATAGATCTGGAAGCTGAGGCACATAGGTTTACTGTCGTGTCTCACTAAGACGACTTGCCATGGTAGAAGGTTAGAGTAAGAATTATTTTCCTGCCTTCCCAAACCATATGGCCACATTAAGGATGTCTGGATTGCAACTCTGGACAATGGGGGAAGAGTGGGAGATGCATGTCTGACACTCCCCCAGATGAATGAGTGTAGAGGGGCGGTGAATAGACAACACTGTGGTTCAATCCCCACCTGCTGGCCAGCAGAGCTGCCCTGTATAAAGGTGAGAAGTGACTTAGTCTCCTCCTCAACAAGAAGGGACAATGAGAGAAATTGTGCTTCTCCTGGGATGGCACAACTATGCACCATCCCCTACATGTGGCTGAGCCTAAAGTTTCTATCTAGCCCTAAATGATTTTCCCACAGGGAAAAAAAGCAAAGAAATGGGACTAGAATTACGCCAGGAATA